CAAAATCAGTAAGCTCCCGCTGGTTGTTGAATGATGTTCACAACCTCTCCGTTTCGAGCGTCCGTCAGTTCAAGACGGCCCAAGAAGCCTACGCGATAATCCCAAGGCAGCTCAAGAGGCCCCCAAGAGGGTCCCAAGATGGCCTGAGAGGCCCCACGAAGGCCCAAGAGGCATCCAAGAGGACCCCCTGGCAGCCCAAGAGGGCCTCCCGTTGGACCTTAGACGGCCTTAGAAGGCCTTGCGACGGCCTAAAACGGCCCCCCACGACAGCCCCACGAGACTGTCAAGAGGGACCCAAGACGGCCCAAGAGAGCCCGAAGACGGCGTACAAGTGCCCCCCATGACGGCCAAAGATGGCCCCAAGGGACCCCCAAAGCTGCCTCACAGGACGTCAAGACAGCCCCAAGACAGCCCAACCGAGTTCCATGAGAGCTCCACAAGTAGTGAAGACGAAAGCTGTCTCATGTGACTAGACTCCCGTTCCTCCTCCTCCTTCTCCTCCTCCTCCTCCTCCTTCTCCTCCTCCTCCTCCTCCTCCTCATCCTCCTCATCCTCCTCCTCCTCCTCCTCCTCCTCCTCCTCCGTTGATCCTCCGTTTATCCTCCGTTGATCCTCCTTCTCCTCCTCCTCCTCCTCCTCCTCCTGCTCCTCCTCCTCCTCATCATCATCAGCAGCAGCATCATCACCACCACCACCACCACCATCAGAATCCTCATCCGCATCCTCATCCTCGTCGTCATCAGTCTCAGCATCATCAGCAGCAGCCGCATAATCATCATCATCATCATCATCATCATCATCATCATCATCATCATCATCATCATCAGCAGCAGCAGCATCATCATCATCATCATCATCATCATCATCCATCATCATCATCATCACCACCATCAAAAACCATCACCATCACCATCACCATCACCATCATCATCATCATCATCATCACGTCGTCGTCGACGTCCGTCGTCGTCGTATCATCATCTATCCATCAAGCATCATCATCATCATCATCATCATCATCATCATCATCATCAGCATCATCATCATCATCATCATCATCATCAGCAGCATCATCATCATCATCATCATCATCATCATCATCAGCATCATCATCATCATCATCACCATCATCATCACCATCATCATCATCAGCATCATCATCATCATCATCAGCAGCAGCATCCTCACCCATATTCTCATCACAACCACCAACACCATCACAACCATCATCATGATCAGTAGCAGCGGCAGCATCACCGCCACCACCATCAGAATCCTCATCCACATCCTCATCCTCGTCGACATCTGTCTCAGCATCATCAGCAGCAGCAGCCGCATCATCATCATCATCATCATCATCATCATCATCATCATCATCAGCAGCAGCAGCAGCAGCAGCAGCAGCATCACCCTTATTCGCATCACCACCATCACCACCACAACCACTATCATCACCATCACCAACAACAACAGCAGCATCATCGTCACCATCATCATCATCATCAGCAGCAGCAGTATCAGCATCAGCAGCAGCATCATCATCATCCGCGTACTAATCAGCACCATCATCATCACCGCCACAGTCATCATCAACAGCAGCAGCGCCATACGAATCAGCATCAGCATCCTCATCATCATCATCAGCAGCAGCAGCATCATCATCGTCGGCATCATCATCGTCATCATCACCACCATCATCACCGCCATCATCACCACCACCACCACCATCATCATCAGCATCACCATCATCATCATCATGATTCGCCGTCGCCATCGTCATCGTCATCGCCATCATCATCATCATCATCATCATCATCATCAGCATCATCATCATCAGCAGCAGCATCAACATCACCCTGAACAGTACTATCAACCGCAGCATCATCTACAGCATCATCATCATCATCATCATCATCATCATCATTATCATCAGCATCATCAGCATTATCATCAGAACAGCAGCAGCTCCAGCATCGCCATCGTCAGCCGCCGCATCATCAACATCATCAGCATCAGCAGCATCAGCAGCAGCATCATCAGCAGCAGCATCAGCAGCAGCATCATCATCAGCATCAGTATCATCATCTACATCGTCGTCGTCCGCATCCTCATCATCATCAGAAGCATCGATCATGGTCATTATCAACATCAGCATCATCATCCTAAGCATCACGATCATCACTATTACCAATATCATCACCATCATTATCATCATCATCGTTATCATCAGCAGCATCAACATCCGCATCATCATCATCATCAGCATCAGCATCGGCATCATCACCACCACCACCACCATCTGAATCCTCATCCGCATCCTCATCCTCGTCACCATCAGTCTCAGCATCATCATCAGCAGCATCAGCAGCCGCCGCATCATCGTCATCATCAACAGCATCATCATCATCACCATCATCAGCATCATTATCACCATGAGCATCATCATCAGCAGCAGCATCATCATCGTCAGCAGCAGCAGCAACAGCAGCATCAACAACATCAACATCATCATCATCACCATCACCAGCATCACCATCATCATCATGATCATCAGCATCAGCATCATGGTCATCAGCAGCAGCATCAGCAGCAGCATCATCTCCATCAGCATCATCACCACCATCATCATCATCACCACGGCTCTTCCAACCGCGGAGGCACAAGGTGTCACACGTGACGGCCTCCTGTTCCCCCTCCGAACAGTCGGGCCGTCTTTGGACCCTCTTGGGTCCCTTCGGGAGCCCATTCGGGCCGTCTTGGACGCCTTTGGCCGTCTTCGGACCCATGGAGCCGTCTTGGAGCCCTCTTGGGGGTTTCTTGGGCCGTCGTAGGGCAGTCAGTCCAAGGAGCATGTTGGGCCGTCTGTGTTGCTGTGAAGGTCCCGGAAACAAATATGCTAAAAATGCACGTCTTCCTGAGGGAGTGGGAAGAGGTGTGCCCCTCGGGGCTCTCTCGGGTGTCGTCTTGGAGCGCCACTTGGGGCGTCTTCGAAGCTTCTGGCGCCGTTCGAGACGCCTCGCTGGGAGTCCACGACTCCTGGAGGCCGTCTTGAGCCGCCTCGACGACGGCGGGAGCGCTGTCGAGGTGGACCTGGGGCCCCCGAGGAGCCCCGAGGAGCGGGCCCGGCCCCCCGCCCCGACACTTGTGGTAGTGGTCCCAGTCCCCAGGCCCGCCCGGGCCTGGGATGACTCACGGCACGCTCGCTCTCGCGAGCCATGGTGCGAAAAGCTTGTTACGTCGTTTTGGTTGCTCTCTCTCTTTCTCTCTCTCCATCTCTCTCTTTCTTCTCCATCTCTCTCTTTCTTTCTCTCCCTCTCTCTCTCTCTCTCTCTCTCTCTCGCTCTCTCTTTCTCTCTCTCTCTCTCTTTCTCTCTCTCTCTCTCTCTCTCTCTCTTTCCCTCTCTCTCTCACTCTCTCTCTCGCTCTCTCACTCTCTCTCTCTCTCTCTCTCTCTCTCTCTCTATATATATATGTATACATATATGTATATATGCACGGATTAAAAATAGATAGATACATAATATCGGGAGTCCTAGCGATAATAGATTGTTACGTTACGGTACTGCTCGCTCCCGGGAGACCTTAGCCCTTTAGGGCATGAGTGGTTTGGAGTTTCCCTTTCCAACCCCCTTATTCACCTTCGGGGAGGGGCTTATCACTGTTCCCTATACACTCCCACCCCCAGGCGACCGGCAGCCAACCAGGAACCAGGAGGACAAAATACTCACACACACACACACACACCACCCGTCAAGAACAATACAAAACGCACTCTGCCTCCACCTTTGGAGCATGCGCGGCCAATCCGATGCGGCCCCCCCCACCGTCCCTGTCAACTAACAATACACGAAGTACACTTTGGGGCAAAGTCTTGAGTCATGTTCGTGAGGCCCGCGAGCACTTTGAATTGTTTTTGACAGGGACGGCGGAGGTGTCAGCACATTGCCTGCTGCTGCGCGCAGGGCTACCATCCAGCACAAAATGCACCTCGCGGCTAAATCTGGATCATGCGCGGCCACTCCGCGATCACTGACAAGTGGTTTTTGACAGGGACGGCGGGGGTGGTGGCGTATGGCCTGCTGTGCGCAGGCCCACCAGACACAATGATGGGCATTGGTTCTCGACGAGGATGGTGGGGGCCGACATGTTTCCTGATGTGTGCTGTCACGTGCGCAGGCGCACCTGACACACTCTGCACGTGCCCAGAACGTGGCGCACCTGGCGCGGCTGGAGTATGCGGCACGCCTGGCGCACACCTGGCACGAAGCTCTCGGAAGAAATGCGAAGAGGCTCCGAAGGGCATGCAAGAGGCTTCTGGCCTTCCTGTTCGCCCTCATCCTCCTGCTCCTCCTCCTCATCCTCCTCCTCCGTCTCTTCGTCATCGGCCTGTTCCTCCTCCTTCCTCCTCCTCTCCCTCCCCCATCTCCCCCCTCCTCCTCCTCCTCCTCCTCCTCCTCCTCCTCCTCCTCCTCCTCCTCCCCCTCCGCCTCTTCCTCCGATTCCGATTCCTCCTCCATCCTCCCGCCTCTTGGGATAGGACGTCTTACCCAGCCCACTATTCCACGGCATGCTCCTCCACATCCCTGATCAGGGCAACTCGTCGTCGACGAAGCGTCTAGGATTCGCGAGGATGGTGACAGGGAGATTGGCCAGGAAAGTGGCCAGGGCGGTCGGGAGGGGGAGCCGACCTCGACTGCTCGGTGCGGCCAGCCTGGCCTCCTGCCCTCCCTCCCGCCCTGCCCCCCCGAACCCCTCCACGCTGAGGGGCAACGACAGGAGGGGGACTGGCTCCAGGGGGGGCAACATCGAGCTGCAATCGGCGCGATACATCGCCGATGGGTCGGCGATGGGCCCCCGACAGCGAGTCCGCACGCTCCTGGGCGGGGTGGGCCATCGGGCCCATATCGGCGATGAGTGGGCGATGGGCGGTCGATGCGCCTCCCCCTGAGCCTATCCCCCCCTCAACGTTGCACCTGGCATACACACCCCTGCTGTCTTCAGCCCTATTCTTTGTTGGCCTCACCGCATCGATGCAGATCGGGAAAACCGATTCACACATGAGGCTCAAAGCACCGCAGAGGCCTCCGTGGAAAAGCAGAAGCTTCCCCACGGCAGGGAACTGCACAACTACTGTGGTGATGCTCTCGCTGGCCACTGGGGTTGTCACAACGAGCCGGAAGACAATGGGGGCCTGCCCGAATTAAGTAGCGCCAGGCAGGCAGCCAGGCTGCCTGCTGCCTCGGACACATCTTCGCTCAACACCGGCTTTGTGTGGTGAGGAGTGGCCAGGGCAGCGCGAAAAATGCCTGCACGACCAAAAAACGGCGGCCGCGGGGCACAGCAGGCAGGCGGACAGGGCGCTATGCCTGGCGCACTGCGGCTTCACTGCCTGCTGCAGGGCGCTCAGTAGCCAAATGCGTTGGTGGTGGCATCCAAGCACGCCATATAGTCCTCGGGCTTCATCAGAGGGTGGTACGCTGGGAAGTTCTCGCCGTCGCACGTGGGCTTCCACTTCTTGTTCTTCTTCTCGGCGGTTGGCCGGTCCGCCTCGCAAGTTCCGTCCAGCTTGGTGCCGAATGCCTCTCCACGAGAGACGCCGTTCGTATCCAAGCAAACCTGCGCGAACAGATCCTCGCCCATGGGGCCGTACTTGCCTCCGTCAACGCCGGTTTTCCAATCGACGGTGCCCCCCTTGCACGCGGCCATCGACCCCAGGAGCGTCTCGAAGGCCACCGCCGAGAAGATCTCCAGGCTGCCGAACCACCGTACTCACGCCTTTGACAGTCTCGAGGTAGAGGCCGTGGCGGGACCACCTTGCTAGAGAGTTAAGACACCAAGCGGTCGGCACGAACACCGCGTACAATAGGATCGACCTTCACGACCAAGCTCGCGCTTCTGGTACAAACGCCGGCTCCCCAATTGCCTTCCCAAGCCTGGTAATGGCAAGCCCGTGTTAGCCCAGGTGCCTGTCTCCTCTCTCTTTCGCGAAAGGACGTCCCCGTCGGCATCCTCCCAGCTTCACAGCGGGAGCGCCGGGCCCGACCTACCCCTCCTTGTCGCTGAATACTCCCCAGTTCTTCGCACCCGAAGATGCTGGTCTTCCTGACGTATGCGCCCTGGAGCAGCTCCAAGTCGTACATCTTCTTTGTGCTGCCGATGTCCTGCATGACCACTGCGAAGCAGTACAATGACGGGCCGTACCAGTCGTCATCCTTGAGGATCGGGTCCATGATCGGCTGCGTCTGAACGCACAACTGGGAGGCGCTGGGGGTGCAGTTCTTCAGGCACTTGCCCTTCCCCGGCTTGGTCTCGAAGCAGTTCAGGCCCGCAACGTTGCAGCACCCCAGGCTGTAGCAGTCGTCGTCCGTGCTGGCGCACTTGTCGCGCGGCGGCAAGGCAACCGTCTGCACCTTGCTCTGGAGGCGGTCCGTGTCCGAGGCCGTCCCGTGCAGCGCCAAGCGCACTGCCCCTGCGCCTGCGCCGGCCAGGAGCAGGGCGGCCACACCTGCGCCACCCGCCACCCGCCAGGGCGAACGCCTGGCGCGAGCATCCTGGACCAAGAACTGCTCCGACCCGCTCGCCTCGCCGCCGACCTCCGCTAGCTCCATGCGCTCCGTGGCCGAGGTCATTGGTGGCAGGTCGGGATGTGGCGGAGTGCTCTCGGACAGGTGGCTCCGCAGATGTCTATTGGAGCCAGAACGGCGACGGGCCTAAATTAGACGGGTCGGCCCGACAAAAAAGATGCGAGGCGTCCCCCTCCGACGTCCACGGATCCCTCGTGCAACGTAAGATGCGCCGTGTCCTGAGCTTCCAAGCCGGTCCAGGCAGGCATCCGAGAACACCAAGATGGCCCAAAGACCTCGAAGACTGCCCAAGATGGCCCCCCAGCGGTCCAATATGGACTCAAGACGGCCCAAGATGCCACCAAGAGGGTCCAAAAAAGGGCCACAAGCGGACCTTCAACAGGGCCCGAAGAAGCCAAAATCAGTAAGCTCCCGTTGGTTGTTGAATGATGTTCACAGCCTCTCCGTTTCGAGCGTCCGTCAGTTCAGACGGCCCAAGAAGCCTACACGATGGTCCCAAGGCGGCTCAAGAGGCCCCCTAAGAGGGTCCCAAGAGGGCCTGAGAGGCCCCACGACGGCCCAAGAGGCATCCAAGAGGACCCCCTGGCAGCCCAAGAGGGCCTCCCGTTGGACCTTAGACGGGTTTAGAAGGCCTTGCGACGGCCTAAGACGGCCCCCCCCGACGGCCCCACCACTCTGTCAGGAGGGTCCCGAGACGGCCCAGGAGAGCCCGAAGACGGCGTACAAGTGCCCCCCCATGACGGCCAAAGATGGTCCCAAGGGACCCAAAGCTTTCTCACAGGAGGTCAAGACAGCCCCAAGACAGCCCAACAGAGTTCCATGAGAGCTCCACAAGTAGTGGAGACGAAAACTGTCTCATGTGACTAGACTCCCGTTCATCTTCCTCCTTCTCCTCCTCCTCCTCCTCCTCCTCCTCCTCCTCCTCCTCCTCCGTTGATCCTCCGTTGATCCTCCGTTGATCCTCCGTTAATCCTCCGTTTATCCTCCTCCTCCTCCTCATCCTCCTCCTCCTCCTCCTCCTCCTCCTCCTCCTCCTCCTCCCTCCTCCTGCTCCTGCTCCTCCTCCTCCTCCTCCTCAGCTCATCATCATCATCATCAGCAGCAGCATCATCATCACCACAACCACCACCACCACCACCCATCAGAATCCTCATCCACATCCTGATCCTCGTCGTCATAGCCTCAGCATCATGAGCAGCAGCAGCCGCATCATCATCATCATCATCATCATCATCATCATCATCATCATCATCATCTTATCATCATATCATCATCATCATCATCGTCATCATCATCATCATCATCATCATCATCATCATCATCATAAGCATCATCATCATCAGCAGATCATCATCATCATCATCATCATCATCATCATCATCTGCATCCTCAACCATATTCTCATCACAACCACCACCACCACAACCATCGACATCAGCAGCAGCAGCGGAAGCATCACCAACACCACCATCAGAACCCTCATCCTCATCCTCATCCTCAGCATCAGCAGCAACAGCCGCATCGTCGTCATCATCATCATCATCAGCAGCAGCATCCTCCCCCTGATTCGCATCACCACCACCACCACCACCACAACCACTATCATCATCATCATCATCATCATCATCATCACCATCATCATCATCATCATCATCATCATCATCATCATCATCATCATCATCATCATCAGCATCATCATCATCATCATCACCATCATCACCATCATCATCATCAGCATCAGCATCATCATCATCATCATCATCATCATCATCAGCATCATCATCACCATCATCAACATCATCATCAACAACAGCAGCATCATCATCATCAGTATCAGCATCAGCAGCATCATCAGCACAATAATCAGTACCAGCATAATCACCGCCACAAGCATCATCAACAGCAGCAGCACCATACTAATCAGCATCAGCATCCTCATCATCATCATCATCATCAGCAGCATCATCATCATCGGCATCATCATCGTCTTCGTCATCATCATCATCATCATCATCATCATCACCGTCATCACCACCAACACCACCATCATCATCACCATCATCATCATGATTCGTCGTCGTCATCGTCATCGTAATCGCCATCATCATCATCATCATCTTCATCATCAGCAGCATCAGCATCACTATGAACCGTACTATCAACAGCAGCATCATCATCATCAGCAGTATCATCAGCATTACCATCAGCACAGCAGCAGCTCCAGCATCGCCATCGTCAGCAGCAGCATCATCAACATCAGCAGCATCAGCAGCAGCATCATCAGCAGCATCATCATCAGCAGCAGCATCATCATCAGCATCATCATTATCATCATCTACATCGTCGTCGTCCGCATCCTCATCCTCATCATCATCATCACCATCATCGATCATGGTCACTATCAACATCAACATCATCATCACCATCACCATCATCATCATCATGATCATCAATCAGCATCAACATCATCATCATCATCAGCATCACCATCATCATCATCATCATCATCATATTCGTTTCCATCAGCATCATCATCATCAGCATCATCACCACCACCACCATCATCATCATCAGCAGCAGCATCATCACCATCGTCATCATCATCGCCACCAGCACCACCACCACCACCATCAGAATCCTCATCCTCATCCTCATCATCATCATCATCAGCAGCATCAGCATCATCATCACCACGGCTCTTCCAACCACGGAGGCACAAGGTGTCACACGTGACGGCCTCCTGTGCCCCCACCGAACAGTCGGGCCGTCTTTGGACCCTCTTGGGTTCCTTCGGGGGCCCGTTCGGGCCGTCTTGGACGCCTTTGGCCGTCTTCGGATCCATGGGGCCGTCTTGGAGCCCTCTTGGGGTTTTCTTGGGCCGTCGTAGGGAGTCAGTCCAGGGAGCACTTAGGCTGTCTGTCTTGCTGTGAAGGTCCCGGAAGCAAATATGCTAAAAATGCACGTTTTCATGAGGGAGTGGGACTCTCCGGACTCTCTCGGGTGTCGTCTTGGAGCGCCACTTGAGGCGTCTTCGAAGCTTCTGGCGCCGTTCGAGACGCCTCGCTGGGCGTCCACATCTTCTGGAGGCCGTCTTGAGCCGCCTCGACGACGGCGGGAGCGTTGTCGAAGTGGACCTGGGGCCCCCGAGGAGCCCCGAGGAGCGGGCCCGGCCCCCCGCACCGACACTTGTGGTAGTGGTCCTGGTCCCCCGGCCCGCCCGGGCGCGGGATGACTCACGTCACGCTCGCTCTCGCGAGCCATGGTGTGAAAAGCTTGTTACGTCGTTTTGGTTGCTCTCTCTCTCTCTCTTTCCATCTCTCTCTTTCTTTTTCTCTCTCTCTCTCTCTCTTTCACTCTCTTTCTCTCTCGCTCTCTCTCTCTTTCTCTCTCGCTCTCACTCTCTCTCTATATATATGGATAGAAAACAAGTGCAAAAATAATGTCGGGAGTCCTGGCGATAATACATTGTTACGGCACTGCTCGCTCTCGGGAGACTTGAGCCCAGGGCGTGAGTGGTTTGGAGTTTCCCCTTCCAACTTGCAACCCCCTTATTCACCTTCGGGGAGGGGCTTATCACTGTTCCCTATACACTCCCACCCCCAGGCGACCGGCAGCCAACCAGGAACCAGGAGGACAAAATGCTCTCA